CTGAAGAATCCTGGTGTCCTGGCATACCGAACCCCATCAGGTCAGTAGTCCTCGCCTCCTCGGTCGCCATGGAGACGCTCAGGGGCCAGACCGCTGAGCTGAAGGCTCTCAGGGGCCGTAAAGAGGAGGAGGAGGAGGAGGAGGAGGAGGAGGAGGAGGAGGAGGAGGTGAAGGAGGAGGAGGAGGAGGAGGGAAGAGGAGGAGGAGAATGAGGAGGGGGAGGAGGAGGGGGAGGAGGAGAAGGAGGAGAAAGTGCAGCGTAACAGAGCGAGGCGAGAGCGCCCGCCGGTCGCCAGCAGGAGCGCCTCCTTCCGGCACCCTCGCCGGAGCTTCCCCGCGGGCCCGTGGCGAGAGAGGCGCCTCGCCGCGCCGGCGCGGCGAGGCGCAGGGGCTGCGACGAGCCGGGGGGGGAAGGTTTGGAAGCTGGGCGATAGCGCGGCAAATCCGTGGCTGTAAGACAAGTTCCCAGAATCACGCTCAGCGCACTAAATAGTAAGCGGGCCGCTTCCCGGAAGAACGAACATATCAGTTCCGCGGAGCTCTGTTCTAGCAGCCACGGGTTTGCCAGCCTTCGCCCGGCTTCTGGGAAGTCAGAGGGAACGGGGCTTCCCAGAAGGCTCGGAATGCCTCCAGACTTCCGAGAAGTCTCCTGGGCCCCGCGCACACCCAGAGGGCGCAGGGGCTGCGGAGAGGCCCCGCCGCCTCCTAAGGCCCGCCCCCTCTCACTGCCCCTCCTCCTCCTCCTCCTCCTCCTCCTCCTCCTCCTCCTCCTCCTCCTCCTTCTCCTCCCCCCCTCCCTCCCCTCCGCCTCGTCCTCCTCCTCCTTCGCCTCCTCCTCCTCCTCCTCCTCCTTCTCCTCCTCCTCCTGCTCCTCCGCCTCCTCCTCCTGCTCCTTCTCCTCCTCCTCCTCCCCCTCCTCCTCCTCCTCCTGCTCCTGCTCCTGACCCTCCTCCTCCTCCTCCTCCTCCTCCTCCTCCTCCTCCTCCTCCTCCTCCTCCTCCTCCTCCTCCTCCTCCTCCTCCCTGCCCTCTCTCTGCGAAAGGGCTCGCCGCCGAACGGCGACGGCGTGCGGGCTGCGCCGCGGCAGGGCCGCGGCCGCACGGCCACCGTGCTGCCACCAGGAACGCCGAAGTTAAGGAGCGGAGGGGCTCTTCTGGCCACGAAGAGGCCCCCCGACCTGCATCAACAATGGAGGCCTGCCCGCAAGAGACTTTCAACAAGAAACCCGACCTTGTGAGACCCCAGGACGTCCCCGGATCGATCTGTGCTGTGGGACCGTCGCGCCTTCCGCAGCAAAGCCGGCGAAACCCAGGAACAACCCAGCGCACCCTGGAGGCAGGCAGGGCGTTTCTTGGCATGGGCTTAGGTCGTGCATGTCCCCCTACAGGCGGATGTTGGACGAAAAAACAAAAATACTCCAAGATGCTCAACAATAGGCAACACATGCTAGAAAAGTCGTCCCCAGACTATGTTTTGACTATTTTTGAATATTCCCCCTGTAAAGGGACATGCCCGACTGAAACATGGGCCCCCCCTGTAGGGACGGGCCCGAAAACGAGAGCCCCTCCCGAGCCGGGAGGCGGTCCTTCGTGCGACGTCCTGGCTGCAGGGGTGGAGGGCAAGGTCGGGCGCTCTGTCCTTGGAGGGCTGGGCTGACGGGCCAGTCCTTTCCTTGCCGTCGACCGTGAAGCCAGGTGGGCCCAGGTGCACGGTTTCCCCCGGGGCCGTAGGCGACCCGAGGAGGAGGCGGAGGAGGAGGAGGAGGAGGAGGAGGAGGAGGAGGGGGGGGAGGAGGAGGAGGAGGAGGAGAGAGGAGGAGCGGGAGGAAGAGGAGGAGGAGGAGGAGGAGGAGGAGGAGGAGGAGGAGGAGGAGGAGGAGGAGGAGGACGGGTCGCCTAAGCCCTTCGGAGAAACCCTCCAGGCCAAAGGCGGTCCTGAGGTCTCGATGGCCGTCGGCTGCTCGGCCAATGTCGCCGTGGTTGCCCTCGCGACCAGGCCGTGCAGATGGGCTATAGCTTTCCCTCCGGCAGGCGGTCCGAGCCTGTGTCGGCGCTGCTCGTCTTGAGGTCCACGCGAAAAGATCGTGCGAAAGATGTCTTTGGCGGAGAAAATTGATCGTTACCATGTGGGGCTTGCGGAACAATATCTATGCGGCGTAGTGAATCAACAGCTAGATTGGCCTGCCCCAGCGAGCGCTTCAGACCCGCATCGCTGCTGGCGAACAAGCGCTGCTTCCCCTATGCCTTTTCTTCCCCACATCCTGAGTGGGGTTCTTGTTTTCCCAGAACATCCTCTCCTTCTCCCTCCCGCCTCCCGCCTCCCACCCCTCCAGGGAGGCCCCGTCTGAGCGAGGATGGTATCGGAAACCAATGCTATTTACATGGTTTCGTGCTGCTCCCACCCCTCCAGAGAGGCCCCGCCTGAGCGAGGAGGGTATCGGAAACCCATGTCATTTACATGGTTTCGTGCCCTTCCCACCTCTCCAGGGAGGCCCCGCCTGAGCGAGGAGGGTATCGGAAACCCATGCTATTGACATGGTTTCGTGGCCTTCCCACCTCTCCAGGGAGGCCCCGCGTATCGGAAACCCATACTATTTACATGGTTTCGTGCCCTTCCCACCTCTCCAGGGAGGCCCCGTCTGAGCGAGGAGGGTATCGGAAACCCATGCTATTTACATGGTTTCGTGCCCTCCCACCCCTCCAGGGAGGCCCCGTCTGAGCGAGGAGGGTATCGGAAACCCACACTATTTACATGGTTTCGTGCCCCTCCCACGAAACCATTTCGTGTCTCCCCTCCACTCCTCCAGAGAGGCCGCGCTTGAACGAGGAGGGTCGCGGAAAGCATTAATCTTTACCAGGTTTCGTAGCCCTCCCCCCTTCCAGCGGGGCCCCGCCAGAGCGAGGAGGATATCAAGAAACCGTACTATTTACAAGGCTTCGTTCCCTGAGCACCTGTCCTCCCTCCTCCTTTCTTTCGTCTGCCCTTTCGTGCGTTCTTACTCGTTCGATGAGCTTCTCCTTCGTGTTGATGTTGTCGTACCCCATAGGTCCCACGAAAACGTTAATATCTTTATGTGGGGAACTCCGTTAGCATAATTCTTTCTCCAGAGCGCCTGCAAGCTTCCCCTGGTCATCTCCCGCTCCTGGGTGTGAGCGTGAGCTGGGAAGTACTCAAATAACGTTGTTGCTTCGTCACTTGTCTGGTAGAGCTCATCCAACTCCTTTGCCTCGGCCGTATGTGGAATCCGATGGGCACTGTCAGATCACCAACCGCTGTCCGATCGGCAAGACCTCCTTCTCGCTGCGGCTCTGACCTCGGATGTCCTTCCGGCCATCCGCGGCGGTCGCCACGAACGGGACAGATTGGGCCACTGTCCAGCAGGTGGGGATTCGGTGGCAAGGCGTCGCCCCCCACCTTGGCAATTGCGCGAGGCGCCCCCACTTGGTAGCGCTCTCGGTCTGCATCCTTGGCGCGCAGCCGGTCCGAAGCTTCCTGTCCACTCTGTGGCGGGGTGCCTCAACGTCCCAAATCGGGGATGCAAGAACTTCGAGGCAATCGGCGGGGCTGCTGGCAAACTGGCAGCCCTCCTCTTGGCCCTGGTGCTTCCTGCCCTCCTCCCCCCCTCCTCTCACTCGACCTCCCCTGCGACCGCGTCCCTGAGCCCCCCTCCCCGACCCGGGCGCCGCCTCCCCTCCCCGACCTCCTCCCCATCCCCGACCCCGGGCGCCTCCCGACGGCTCCCGTGGCAACGACAGGACTCCGCAGCACTTGTAAGAGCCCAGCCGCTGCAACCGCTTGATGTCATCGCCCGAGTCTGCCCCGGCAGGGAAAAGGCGGAGAAGGAGGAGGAGGAGGAGGAGGAGGGAGGAGGAGGGGGACTCTTCCGCTTCCTGCACCTCTGTAGCGACCGGCGAAAAGAAGCTCAGAGCGGTCCAGCGAAATGCTGCCAGAACGTGATGCACACAGATGTTGGCAAGCGCGCTACCCACCAATTCTGCACGGCGTGCCGAGAGATGCAGCAGCTTTTTTCAATCGAGGCGTGCCCCAGAGGCGAGGCAGTGAGGTTGCGTGCTACTTGGTTTAGTCAAAACGAGCGTGAGGGGTGTGCAGCATCGCCTTCGGGGCAATCTAGCGGCCGAGCACCCGCGGGGCGCGCTAACAGGCCTGGGCCAGGCTCTCCCTGTCCTGTTCTGCGAAAGACCCCGATGGCCCTAGATCCAGCAGTTCTTGTCATGTCTAGGGCGTGCCGCGGATTTCAGTGCTGTCTGTCTGTAAATCCTGCTTTCTTTCCTCGAAGCGTAGGCCACTACTCCAATGGCTGCGTGCGAAATACGAGCAACTGTTCCAGAGCTTGAACTGCCCCGTTCAAGGCATGATAGGAACAACTCAACAATCAAGATTGCGGTGCAAGCCTGTCCCTCGTTCCGCACACACAGGCACATGGTTTCGACCAGGCTCACGCTAGCATGGGTTGCAGATCCCTGGATCTGGCGCGTGGGCGCCAGGTCCGCGGATCGGGGAACGTACCCCCGGAAACATGGCGGCAATGCCGCCTGATTTAGCGACATGTCGCGCCGACTCTGTATGGATGCGGGGCCCGCCGCAAATTCACGCGCCTTCACCCGTGTTTGAATTCCCCCGATTCTTTGGACGTCCGAACTGGGTACGGAAAACATTGGCACAAGGCCCAACAACAAATGTGATCCCAAACCAACAGCGGCCGCTGTTGGGCAGGCGACCTTCTGCCTCATGGACAAAGGCCGCGGCGGCGCGGACAGCGAGTCCTGCTCGAAATGAACAGGAACTGCTGCTGGGCATTGAACCCATTCTTTCCGCTCGCGACGGCAGGCCCGCCGGAGGGATGGGAGAGGCTGAGGGACGAAGGGAGGGAGGGAAGGAGGAAGGGAGGGAGAAGGGGAGGGAGGAGGAGGAGGAGGAGGAGGAGGAGGAGGAGGAGAAGGGAAGCAGGAGGGAGAAGGAGGGAGGAGGAAGACGGAGTGAGGAAGGCGAGGGCGAGAGAACGGCCCCGTTCTTTCCGCTCGCGACGGTCCGTCCGCCGCTCCCGTCCAGGGCGAGAAGACAGGCAGAGGCCGGGCAGGAGAGGCGCGAGGAGAGTGGGCTGGCCGAGGCCACGCCCTTCGTGGGACGGGGCGAAGGGCGAAAGGGCGAAAGGGGGGAGGGAGGGACGGAGGGAGGGAGGGAGGGAGGAGGAGGAGGAGGAGGAGGAGGAGGAGGAGGAGGAGGAGGAGGACGCAGAGGAGGATGATTTTTTGACATCAACATCCAAGGTGAGAGCCCACCCAGACAATTAGGGCAGGCAGGCTGGCCACAGCCAGCAAAAATCTAACACCTGCAAAGAGAGGAGAGGCGGAAAGCCACATGGACATCTCCAGCTGGCTGGAGGATTCCCCGTGGCCAACCGCTTCTCCCCCAGGCGTCAGTCAGAACTGGAGTCGCCCTCATCCCGATGCGGCAGCTTCGAGACGAAAAGGGCCTTCGCCTTCAACTCCTGAAGAGCGGGCGAGGCCTCCTGCGACACGTGGCCAGTGGCCTGAGAGAGAGACGGCGGGTCCCTCGGTGGACCACTCGCCGCAGCCAGGAGACGTCGTGCGATGGCCGCACGGCGTCTCTCACGTGCTTCCTCCTCCTCCGAGGCCGAGGTGGGGGGAGGCTCAGACGACGGGGCAGGGACCTCCTCCTCCTCCGCGTCTGGGACAAAACCAAAAGAGTGCCTTCCCCAGGGGCCACGCTCCACTGTGACCTCTGGGCGCTTGGGGTGCCGTCCTCTGCGAATGGGCCCCCAATTAGTGTAAAAAGTAGACCTGGTCGGACCCACGCACCTTCCACCAAGCCCAGCCACTCTGCCATGAGAAAGGTAGCAGAAGCACTTCGTGCACACAACCAACGAGGCCTGGTCCGAGCACGACAACGCAATACACGAGTGGCCCCTTTTTCTCAAGCGCACCCGCTTCGAGCCCCGAGATCGGCAGACACAGAGGAGCACACGGGGGCGGGCCGTCGGTGGGAGATCGACTGACTCTGCCGCAGGCCGTGCATTTCCAAAATCCTGGGGAAGAAGCCAACTGTACATTCTGAATAATCGTCCACTGGCACCTGGTAGACGGCGAATTCACAGCAAATGAGACCGACGGCTTAGTCCAGGAAGCTTCACTGAGGTCCAGGCGCGGCCAACTAGGAAGCACTTTCGCCGCTAGCTGACGCACAACACGAGACAATTTGATGTCGGGATCCAACCTATCTCGGTCCTCCGCAGAAGGCTGCGGGTGACCGAGGTACCCTTCACCGCCAGAAGCCTTCTTAGCACCGACATCTGCATAATGATTCCCAAAACGGCACATCTTGTCGAATTCGGAGGTCCATTCATCGAGAGACTGATGCGCTTTGACTATGTGGAGGGCGTTCACCTTCCACATTTCATGCAAAAGAGACAACGAGAACCCACTGTAGCAACGTTTCGGCGACAGCTGATCCTCGGGTTGCAAAGAAAAGTGATCCTTGACCAGCTGCGCGTCAGTGTAAAAATCCGACGGAGCATTAGCGAAAAGGACTGCTTGGCAGAAGGCGGCGAATTCTCCTGCAGGAGCTGTCTGCGGGTACGACGGCGGCACGGGGCCATGCATCATGGCCCGCAAGTCGCCCGACTGGTCAACCACTGCGAAGCACCATCCAGCACGTGAAAGCTCACGCACCACATGCTTTGAGGCACTCCCGTCAGTGAAAACGCGACCGCTGAAATCAAAACTCCGGGGGTCCTGGGGGAGCCCGCCAGGAGCAAAGAATGCGCCAGAGGGCTCCCCCGAGGGCTTGGGAAAATGGCCCCCAGGATGCGCAAAGGAACCGAAACGCGAAAGCACACTGTCAGGCTCCTGCAAGGCTCTCTGGATGACTTCTGGCCCCACGAGGCTCTCGCGAAGCTCCTGGACTTCTGGGCACCTGCAGACCCACAAGCGGTGGTGGAGGGTGTCGGGGGCGGTTCCACACCTGTCGCACATAACGCTGACATCGTACCCAAGGTCCCTGGCTTTTTGACGAGTCCACACAGCGTTGGTGGCAGCAGCCCTGATGCAGCCCTTCTCGAAGGCCGAGAACTTTTTGCTACGCAGACAATGCTTAACCACGTCGAAGCACAGACGATGAGGAACATCCCATCTAGCCCCAGCATCCCACTCCAATCCTCGAAAAACAGCAGCCCGAAGGTGGAGGCGCATGAGCTGGGGAGAGATGAGGGTCAGGGAGAGGATCACCCCTTGGTCCGTAACAAAGGTGGCGAAGTCCCTCATCGTCCAGGAGATCCTCTCCAGGGACATGCGCATGGCGGCGACGGGGCCTCCAACGGCACGCCATGAGCAAGATTCTCTAAGAAAAAACACCTTCCCAAGCCAGCCTCAGCTCCCTGAAACTAAGAGAACCTTCAAAGGCCCGAACTTGGGCACACCAAACTTCCTTGTGCCATCGCAAAATCGGGGCAACAGAACCGATCCAAGCGGGCCCCCCTTCAAGATGAGACAAGACCGTCAGGGAGCGTTGGCCTGCTGAGGGTTTGATGGTGATCGCCGCCGAGCGGCGCAGGTGGAGGAGCTCGTGGTCCGTGACCCCGCGCACCTCGCCGCCGTAGAGCATACCTGGGAGAGGTCCTGCCGCGAAGACCCTCAGAGTGCGTCGAGATCCTAGGGCAGAGCGAAGTTTGCCAACACGGCGGGCACGCTTCTTAAAGAGCCGAAGTCGAGACTTGAGTTTCACTCCCCTCCCCTTAATCCTCAAGCTCTTCCCCCCCGCGTCATCAATGCCCAAGTTGACGGAGCTGTCAGCAATGGGACCCGTAAACTTAGCTCCAAGAGCAGCCTGAATGGCACGGCCCACGGCCGCCGAGGAACAAACACGACTAGACTTGTCCTGCGCAACATTCCCCCCTATACCTTCGACGATGGCCTCATGGAGCTGCGGGGCCCCCTCCACAATAGCACTAACCACCTCACAGAGGGCACCAACGGCCGATAACCCCGAATCATCAATGTACAGGGCCAAGTCGCAGCAGGGACGGAGAACGATCTTATCCAGGGCTTCAATGCTGTTCACCCTGATGAGGGTAGTAGCGAGGGAACATCCCGCCACAATCCCCGAGGAGACAAACCAAGGACCGTCCAAACACCTTCCGAGGGACAGGAACCGAGGGGCCCGATAGGCCCTGACAGCCAATCTGGCCATCGCGACGGGGAAATTCAACCTTAAACACCGCGCCAGCAGTCGGTCAAGGTCGATCAACTCATAGTATTTATAGATGTCCCAGAGGAGAGTGGCCGCATGCTCCTTCCTGGAGACTCCACTTTCACTCTTGACACTTTGGCGCCACACAACGTCAGCAGCCCCTTGAACTTACCAGCGGCAAAATAGGGCCGAGCACGCTCTCCTTCCCACTTTTCCGCCAACCCCCTTCTCGCTCTCCCCCACAAGCGATGCAGGCTCAGGAAAATGCCTATGGGCCTGAAACCACCCGACGGTTTGCCAAGCAACGCCAAAACAGTGGCATCCAGCTGGGCAGGCAGCATACTAGAGATTTCCATAACCTGGAGGATCAAACACAACGCCGAGGCCCCAGGACCCGAAATCATACTGAAGTGTCTCATGTGGAACCCATCAATCCCAACCGCAGCACTCGCCTTGTACCTACGAGAGAGATTGATGATCTCCTGGGGATCTATAAGAGGAAGGTCGGGAGCTGGTTGGAAATCCTTCACCTGTCCAGTAGAAGGTGGGGCGGAGGTCGCTCTCCATAAAACAGTGAACTTGCTCCTCTCCGCGGCGAGCAGCGAGAGCGAGTCACTGACCACGCAGCCATGAGCTGACAGAGTAGAAGTCGGCTTCAACGGCTCGGGCCCAGCCGTGACCATGTGCGCGCGCTTAGCTCCCTGTTCAATGTTCTCCCTAAGCCAGCTACGCCAGGAAGCTAAACTGCTGGTCCTGGCTGTAGCCTCGGCTGTGGCAACCTCGCCTGAGACCTGCACCGGCAGGAGACTGGCATGATCAGCGCTGCCCTTGAAATTGAAAGCAGTAAGACCTGAGACCAGGGACTGCAGAGCGTCGAGGTAGCATCTGTTGTGCCCTAAGTGATCAAGCACAAACTGGGGGGGAGAGGACCAGACGTTTGAGGGCGCACAGGTTGGGAGGGGAAAGACCTTCCGACCAGGTCCCCTGAGACCCAATGAAGACCCTGCAGTCCAGGACCCGATTGTAAACCCAGCGCACAGCATAGAGGGCAGGATGGCGATGCTCGTCCTTGTCACGGCCAAAAACAGGTTGCCAGACAAGCTGCGGTGACTTGCCTCTCGCACCCCAGAAGGGCAGAGAGGTCTGCGTGGCCTCGGCCACTTCACATTCAGCCATATTGGCCCAGAGCTTGTAAGCTAAATCTAACCTACGTTGAGTTTCAACCCCTTTACCCTTCCGAGCGACATCCACCGTGTCCTCCAGAAAACCAAGAACCGCATCCCAAGAAGGGGGTTCACGGGTGGGCCCAATGGCTTGCTGTTTGGGAAGAGGAGGGGGCTTGCGAAATTCCAAAACTTGCATCTGGGCGGGGTTAGGGAACAACTCCAGATCCACAGGACTGTGTGGGGACAGGGGGGAGTTGTTATTGACAGTCACCTGTTTAACGACCTTGCTGATGCCCGACGACACGACGAAGTAATCAAAGACTTTGACGCCCCCCTGACTCCGAAGGGTATAGCAACCGTCGGTGGGGATGATAAGCTGGCCCTTATAAACTCTTGAACGAATATGCTGCGGCTGATGTCCTCTGGGGTCATGTTGAAGTCCCCACCTATGATAGCGGGAAGGACCGCGTGAGAAACACTGGCTCCAACCTGCGCCAACAGCTCGACATTGCGCTCGGAAAGACCCTCCACGTCGTGAAGGTAGACGGACGCCACTAGGATACGAAGCCCCCCTGGAACGACCACAACCGCTGCGCCTGCACGATGAGGGGCGATGACGAACCCCGAAGAGAGCGTGTGCATGCCCAGGTAGGAGCGGACGAGGACGGCGATGCCCCCCGACGTGCCACCTCCAGGCCCAGGAGCTGCAGGTGCCCAACAAGATTTCCATCCACGCCGAAAGAGCCACTGGGAAGCTGAAGCAATATCCTCCTCCTCGATGAGGTGGTGCTCCTGAACCAAAAGAACGTGTGCCTTGACTCTGCTGAGCCACTTGTGCTTCAAAGAAAGCCAGCCAGTGATATTGCACGTTTGGACAACAAGCGAGAAATCCTGCACTGGTGGCGCAGGCGGGGGGTGCGCTCCCGCACCCTCAGAACTGAAGAGAATATCCTGGCTTAGAAGAGGGGCCTCCCCCCCCGAACGATGCAGCAAGAGCGCCGCACTCTGCTGCATGTCAGGAAGGAGGCTTCTGGCGGGCGGCGGTGCCGACGGCAGGAGCTGGAGCCAGAGGAGTGCCAGGAGCACTCGCTCCGCCACCCTCTGCAGGCGAACCCCCAGCTCCTGCAGCGGCTGCCGCTGCCTCACCCTCCCCCGACTTGATACGCTTGGTCGCGGATTGGAGGTAGTCCGCGACTCTTTTCCTGGCTTCATCGGAAATCTCCTCTCCACGAATGAAAGCCTGGAAAGCTGACTCGTCCTCAGACGAGACCTGAGGCATCTCAACATCTGCAGACTCAGACTCCCCACCCTCCCCACCCCCGCCCACATTAGAAGCAGGCTCAGCGGAAACAGGCGCGGCAAAAGTCTCACAGGCTGGCTTGAGCTTTGCCCAGGCCTCACGTATGGAACCCAAGTCGCCGCCCTCGAGGACGACGTTGAAGGTCGCCATCTGGTCGGACAGATCTCTGGCAGGATCGTCAGCAGCGAGGAGGCGGACTTTGGCAGCAAGATCTTTATACCGAGCACGAATCTGGACCTGCTGCACCTCCGCCTCGGCCTTCTGCTCCTGGAGCCTGGAAAGCTTGTCCTGGCGCTCGGCAATCTGCTTGTCCAGAAAAACCACGAACTTCTCATTCTTGGAAAGCGAATCTTGAACGTCACGATGCTGCTGCAACAAAGGGAGCGAATCCTTGACCGACTCGGCCGAGGACTTGACACACGTAGCCGTCTTCTGGATACTTGCAGCGAGCGCGTCACGCTCTGGGAATTCTTCTTTGAACTGTTCCATGAGCAGGGCCATCTGGGCGAGCATGGCTGCGGGAGTACGGGGCGGCGCGGGGGCACCTCCTTTGCCAACCTCACTCCCACCTTTCCCACCACCCTTCTTGCCCTTGGCCCCCTTCTTGTCCCAACTGTCAGCCTTGGGCGGACCGTACTGCCATTGACCACCAGGCTGACGAGCAGCAACAGGGTCAACAGGAGACACTTGACGGATGGGAGCCCAACAGTTCGCACACCATTTGTACCACGGCTTGTTGCACTTGATTGCGCCACACGCCGTACACTTTGCCCCACCATCGCCTGGGGCCATGGGACAACTCTGGGGAAAGAGGGAAACCCTGGCAGCGGGGCGCTGCCACCAGGGAGGAAAGATGTCGGACTGAACAGTCCTAGCTCTTCCGCGGACTAGCGGTATCCGTGAAAGCCAATGCGGGCTCAGCCCGCCAAAGCAAAACACTTGAGCCAAAATGGCTACGGACGCAGAGGAGGAGGAGGAAGAGGAGGAGCAGGAGGAGGAGGAGGAGGAAGAGGAGGAGCAGGAGGAGGATGGCCACAAGACAAGAGGGCAGAGGGAGACGGACGAAAAGGACGGATTGGCACGCCATGTTTCAAGCCAGGTCGATCTGTGAGGGTCCCGGGGGCCCGACTCGAAAAGATTGAGTCGCCAGGACCTCAGGGCCCGACCCTCCCGCCTTCCCCGCTTCGGAGCGCTCTCGGGGGCTTCTTGGGGGGGGGGGGGGGCAGTTCTGCGGCCTCGGGGGCCTCCCAGGGGGCCTCTTGGGGAGCCCCTTTGGGAGCCTCTTGGGGGCCTCTTGGGGCCTCTCCTGGGTCCCCTTGGGGGCCTCTGGGGGTCTCCTGGGGGCCCCTCGGGGCCGAGGGCTCGAGCCCCCCCCCCCTCCCGCCTTCCCTTTGGACGCCCGAAATGGGTACGAAAAACATGGGTACCGCCCTGATTGTTGGGCAGGCGACCTTCTGCCTCGAATGGACACGAAAAACATGGGTACAACGCCCAACAGCAAACGTGATCCCAAACCAACAGCGGCCGCTGTTGGGCAGGCGACCTTCTGCCTCGAATGGACACAGGCCGCGGCGGCGCGGACAGCGAGTCCTGCTCGAAATGAACAGGAGCTGCAGGTGGGCATTGCACCCACTCTTTCCGTGCCCATGTCGCTCGTGCAGATTCCCGCCCCCTCCCTGCGTGTGCAGCTCGTACCTGTAGACGCCCAGGCGCGAGCCGGTCGCCAGGGCGATGGCGCCGTCCAGGCACCTGTGCGCGGCCCCCGCGCGGGGCGGGGCGGCAGGGGAGGGCCCGCGGGGCGTCGGGGCGCACGCCGGGGGCCGCCTCTCGCGCGCGCCCTCCTCCATCGGGTGCTGCTGCACTGCTCGTCGGGGGATTCGCCCCCCGAGGTCCGCTAGGGCAGGGGCCCTCCTGCGCGTCCTCTGCCTGGCCCTTCCGTCCTCCTGCTCCGCTCCGCTTGGCACAAACCCCCCGGTCGGGGCGCGCGCCTGGCCGGGCCGCCCGGCGCAGACCCCTCTCCTCCTCCTCCTCCTCCTCCTCCTCCTCCTCCTCCTCCTCCTCCTCCTCCTCTTCCTCCTCCTCTTCTTCTTCTTCCCCATCATTTTTTGTTTGCTCCCCCTCCTCGCCGATGCCCCCCACCCACCCCGTCCATCCATGCCCCTGCTCCCTCGCCCTGTGGGGGAGGAAGGAGGAGAAACAGGAGTGAGCATGCGGAGGAGGCGTGGGGGAGGATGAGGAGGAGGATGAGGAGGAGGAGGAGGAGGAGGAGGAGGAGGAGGAGGAGGAGGAGGAGGAGGAGGACGGGAAGAAGGTGGGAGGGGAACCATAAGGAACACGAGAAGGATGGCAGAGTGGAGGGCGCGAAGACCAGGAGGAGGGATGAGGATCATGATGAGGATGAGGATAAGGATGAGGATGAAGAGGGATGAGGAGGAGGAGGGGGGGGGACCGCACGTCCCATGGGAGTGCCGTCAGGTTACCGACGAACGAGAGCCGCATGCCGTATTGAAAGGTGGTGGTCGTAGCTGCCGAGCTGCGATGGGGTTACTGCAAGCTCGGCGCGGACCTTATGGAAGATAGAATACGCTAAACTGACGAGGTCGTGGGCAGTCTCGATCGTGAGATCGGTGCCGCCATATTCCTCGTCCGTCCCGAGGCCGAGCCACAGGAAGGGGGGGACGGTAGGGATATGCAAGCGGGGCAAGGCAATGAGGTGAAGCAAGCGGGGGCAGGAGAGGTAGTGGAGGAACGAGTCGGGGTGACCAGGGCAGCCAAACCTGCAGGGCAATGGCATTAGGATTTTAACCCTGTGGCTGGTGATCCACCCTCCGGCGAGGGTTTTAAGGTGGGACCACGCCGTGTGCGGCTGAGAACGTGACAAGACTTGGCGAAGTGCGAGCCATCTTGTCTCCACATCGGCAAGAGGCAGGGGTTCGGGAGGGAACCGCGTCTTAAGCCTCCGGAAGATCAGTTCATGGAATCGATCGGGAAATTCTGATCGCATGAGCTGGGAGATGAAGGCGCATTGAGGTCCCTGCCCCCCTCGCCCACGACGCCGACGCCCACGGCCCCGACCACCCCTTCCTCTAGCGCCTCTATCTGGCCGCCGCGCGGCGGCTGACAGAATACCGAGCTGCTGGAGCCTGTCCTCACCAGGCAGGGGGGGCCCCTGTGGATCAGCAGCAGCATCGATGGCTGCTTGGATCCGAGCCGCTGGAAATGGGAGGCCGCGGCAGCCTTGGGAGAATTGCCGATAGTACTGTAGCACGCCTCGCTCCTGCATCCAGCAGGGTGCAGAGAGGAGACCTTTGCGCGCGCGCATGTGCAGACCGTGAACGTCCACCCCCTCCCACCACCAGTCAAAGTCCCGCCCCCAGTTGTTCAAAGTGTGCGTCGACGCCCGCCAGGCACAGGCGACATAATACACTTGAACACTCGTGGGGGATGCCGATCGCATCCAATTGCGCACCCCGAAGAAGTCGCGCAGGGAAAATGTACTGGGAGGGAGGCGAGGGAGCTTGTGGAGAGCGTAATATTCTTTTCGAGCGATCTCTTGGCACAGCGGGAAAAACTGAGCAAGGTACCCGAGAACTGACAAGCATGTGTGCTCGCACAGTCTCATGGCCGCCTCGCTGGGAGCGCGGGCACGGGCAATCGCACAAATCCTGGACCACCATTTTTCACCAGCCTCGCGCCAGATCTCGCGCAGGGTGGCCCGGGGACCAAGTAGCACCCAAAGATATTTGGCTCACGAGCGCACCTGAAACGATGCCCACGCGGGGGCAAGCTGAGCGATGAGCTGGGAGATCCGGGCGCACTCCACCATTGTGCAAGCGGCTGCCAATGGAACTGCGACACACTTTGCGGGCTGCAATGCCAATCCGGCCAAGCGCTCGGCGAGCACGAAAGTGGCATACAGGAGTGGCAAGAAACGAATCTGATTCAAGACAACTCCTACATCATCCGCGCAGGCCCCCAGGGTTGCTGCCTCTTTACTGGGAAAAGGGGCGACGAGGTGGCGGAGGAAAGGGTCGAACCCAAGAGCCCAGAGAGACCCGGAGAGAGGGCGGCCCTGGGGAACGCCGGCGGTTATGGTAAACATTGGGATTATCTCTGAGCCTACTGGCACGTGTGCAACAGCGTCGGAACTTAGAGCAAGCACGACCCACAGGATACCCTGCGGAAGGCGTGACCTTTCCAGCACCATTCGCAGCCAGGTCTGGCTCATGCTGGGAAACGCCGCGGGCGCATCAAAACTCAGGAAAAGGGGATCCATGTCCGCATCTACGACGCTCGCTCTCCTAGCAGCCGAATCCATGCTGATGATATTGGAAGCCAGGTTTCGCCCCTTAACAAAACCTTGCTGGGCCACATGGGTCCGCTGGACAACCAAGTGCTGCAGCTGCTGGTTGACCACGGACGCGAGAAGCTTGCTGTCCGAATTCTTGAGCGTGAGGGGTCGGAGGGGCCCCGGCTCTCGTACACAGTCTGTGATGTCCCGAGGTTTTTCGCCCTTCGGGATGAAAGCGAATATGCTGTGGTTGAGGCCAGCTGGGGCAGGGTTGCCACCCATGAGATAAAGGAGAAGGCGATAGAGGACAGAGAGGCATTTGGGGTGGCACTTCCACGCAGCATACGTGAGACGATCCGGTCCTGGACCCGAGTCCCGCGCTCGGCTAAGGCATTGTGCCAGCTCCTTCTCAGAGGGGATGTGGAAATCAAAGCTGGGGAGGTCAGAAATTGCGCGGTCCAGGAACTCTGCAATTTCGGCCTCCGGGCGGGGCCGCTCAGTGAAAACAGGCTGTCAATACTGCTTCAAAACGCCCGCCACAAACGCAGCATCTCGCACGATGTCGCCCTGATGGCCGTCGTGCGGCGAGCTTGGGGTGACACTTTCTGGAAGCATTAAGTAAATGTTTGTCCCCATGTGCGCAGCATGCCCAGCGCAATGGGGCACCAGGTCAGAAGAGGAAGAGGAGGAGGAAGAGGAGGAGGAGGAAGAGGAGGAGGAAGAGGAAACAGAGGGGCAAACGTTATGTGAACATCCTGGCCTGCGCACAGTCTCCGACGAGATAGGCGGCGCGAGTTCGCTCTGGTGGCCCTCTTGTGAGACCCGAATCCCCCTCAGAACCAACCGCCTTTGCTTCGGCCTCCAGAGCAGCGCTCGCCTGACAGAGGTCTCTTGGACCTTGCCCCAATGCTGGATCTGGCCCGGCTGGTCGCGCGCTCGCGCAGCGGCCTCTTCTTGTATTTGAGAGTGCCTGAGAGAGTTCTGGGCAATTACCTCGGCCCGAAAACCTTCATCATCCTGCAACCACGCTCGGGCACCTGTGATTAAAATGAAGCGAGACCCGTACACAGAGTGGGCCTGAATTCGGGCTGCTGAATGCATATCCTGCCTCCAAATTGCCCGGGCGATGGCTCGGAGTGTCATGCAGCGGGCACTGGCAGAATACTCCGGGCCATCGCAATCAGGCTGCCTCTGGACCTCGCGGCGAACGACGCCCGCGGCCACGATCATGTTGGCTTCCAGAGTGGACCAAGCCTCGGGAGGGGAGAGGGAATCAAGATCGCAGCCAGCAAGACAGTTGCCGAACACCGTTTTGCATCGAGGATGCTTGAAAATGAAAGCCGGGATAGACTGATGAGCGCGATTCCTGCCTGACCTAGGCTTCAGAGTAAGAGAAATGATGGCATGGTCGCTAAGCTTCCACTCGGCCATGGCCGGGGCCTCCTGCAGGATATCGAGGGCCGCTTCGGTCTCTAGGAGGAAGTGGGGGCTGAGGGAGACGAAGGCGCGGTCGATCGTCGTCGCCGCGGAGGTGGGGCGAGAGAAATGGGCGGGGAGGTCGGTCGTGATTTCGGTCATCTGGCCTGCAAAAAGGGCTCTCCAGAAAGCTTCGCCGTGCTGGGCACGGCTCTCCCGCGAATGGCGGGCCTGGCGGGCCTCAGGAAACAAGAGGCTGTCCGACGGCGAGTCGGAGATGTTGAAGTCCCCGATCGCCACGGCGAGGCGCTCCAGCTCGTTCTGGTGCGCCCGCTCCGCGTTCGCCAACCAGGCGCGGCGGATCGCGCTCCTGTCGTCGTGGCTCAGCTCGTGGTTGTGCACGTTCAGGATCCTTACCGCAGAGTTCCACTTGCCACTCTCGATCTGGATACACTGAGCACGCCCTTCCACCAGCACCTTGTGCTCGAAGACCGGGTGATCTTCAGGCGGATGCTCGGCGAGCTGTTGCTGAGAGTAGCTGGGGACGAGGATGGCCGTGCCTCCAATCCCAGGGCGCGGGCCCATGGCGCTGAAGACGCGGTACTCGAACGGATACTGGTTTATGTAGTTCTGCAGCGCCTCATGGGTACCATGTGACTCCTGGATACAAATGATGGCCCGCTTCCGCATCAAGCGCACCAGGTTGTTGACCATATTCCGTCGTCGGGTAGAGTTTCGGCAGAGAAGGGCTGAGGCGTTCCATGAGACGATCTGGATCTGCTGCCCCCCAGGCTCCAGGTCCCATGGACGCCACCGCTGATCAGGAGCAGGACCAAGACGCGGTATCAACCTCGCGGAACATGTTGTGGAATGCGGCCGTGGCGGTCTCCTTGTTGATATTGTGCACGTTGGAGGTCTCATGGTTCCATGCCAACTTCGTCGCATCATTTGGGGCTGCTCCTGGGATGACCTCCACGATCGGCAGATCCTCGCAATAAACCAATCCCATTTGGCGCTTAGTCCACCATTCGCCATTCGGCGCCTGACGCTGAAGTATCTGCATGAGCTTCTTAGGTTGGACTTTCTTCCGTATCTGGCGTGGGTTTCGGTCAGCCCCGATATATATATATATATATATATATATATATATATATATATGTTAGTCTCACAGCCGTCCACTGCCGTCGCGGGGAACTTGCGGTACTGCCCAGTTTCATCCCGAAGAGCGCAAGTGAGGGCCTGAGCACGAATAACACCGGCTTCCTTGCCCGGGAGGAAAAGGGCAAACTTCTTGGCGGGAGCGTGAGGCCCCACAACCTGCACTGCGTCCTTTCGCACGTTCGCATGGTCAAACCACTCAGCCAGCCCCTCCATGATTGCGTTCTTCGTGACCTCGGTGCTTGTGTTGATGCTGAAGAGCTGCGGATTCGTGGGCCTGAACCAGGTGGCCAGGCGAGCGACATCGATGGACTCGCTTGAGCTGGCCACCTCCGCCATCGAGAGAGCTGATTGCATGGCTTGCACTTGCTCCCGCAGGTGTCGCTGCTCGCGCTCCAGCTCCGACGTGCGGTCCTGCACGGTGCGGACGTCACGCTCGGTGTCGGTGACGCGCTGGATGGTGGGCGCAAGCTGCTGCTGCAGCGTGGCGGCAAGGTCCGTCTGCATCGCAGCCATAGCCGCTCCCATTGTGGTCTGCATGTAGGTCTGGAGGTCGTGCTGCATCGCAGAGAACTGGCTCGCAATGACGTTCGAGAGCCTCTGCTCCATGGGCTCGGCTCGTTCGGGTCGTGGATGGGGTGGAAACTCGGGCCACCACCTGGACGACCCGGGTGGGCGCCGTGTCCAAGGCCACCTTCGCCACCTGCGGCGCTTCCAGCGGCAGGTGCCTCCCCTGGGCCACCGCCAGCGGCTGCCATGCCTGCAGGCGGTTGCACCATGGCGTAGCGGGAGTGGGCGTAGTCGCCGCGCGCCACCCCGCCAGGTGCATGCCCCGCCCAGGGATCGCGACGTTGAAGGGCATCGCCACCGCGTTCTTGAGACGGGTAGGTTGGCGGTGTCCATTCCGCCCATGCTGCTGCCGTGGCGGCGGATGGTGCCTCCCGTGGCCGTGCACCGGCGGGCTCGGCACGCTCAGGTGGGCGACGGCGACCCCGACTGTGACTGCGCTCAGCTGCAGCAGCGCGATCATCAGCATCGCCCGCTCCAGGCCTCGCGGCCCACTCCGCCATTGCGCAGACACCGTGGGGAAAAGACGGAAGTGCTCACAGCGCTGGGCAGCTCCTGTGAGGATCGTGGGTGTAAGACTGTCGGGCTGAACAGCCCTCGCGCAAGCTCGGGGAACAGAGCTATCCCGTTCAGCCCAGGAGGCGGATGCCTCCCGAGCATGAGGTCTTGAGCCAAAATGGCTACGGTAGGAGGAGGAGGAGGAGGAGGAGGAGGAGGAGGAGGAGGAGGAGGAGGAGGAGGAGCAGGAAGAGGAGGAGGGAGGATGGAGGAGGGAGGTCGTTCCAAAGGGCTTTCCCAAACCGACGCTGTCGGGGCTCTGGGGAGCTCTGGAGGACTGCATGTGAGTGGCCTCCCTGGAAATACGCGCGATACTACCCAGCTGTCCATTCTGGCTGGTGGGGTGCATTCCTCCGAGAGGCCTCTGAGGTGCCCCCTTCCCTCCAAAACCCGACACCCACACATCACGCAGATTCAGAACGGCTCGCAGAAGGCAAGCTCGTGGGATGCATGGCCGCTCCTTGTCCCATGGATGATGATGCTGGTGATGAAGAAGTTGATGATGATGCTGCTGGTGATGATGATGATGATACCACTGATGGTGATGATGATGCTGCTCATGATGATGACGCTAATGATGGCGATGCTGATGATGATGATGATGATGGTGGTGATGATGATGATGATGATGATGGCAATGATGGTGATGATGATGATGGTGCTGCTGATGATGATGTTGATAAGGATGACGATGACGATGCTGATTATGATGATGCTGATGATGATTATGATGATGCTGCAGATGATGATGCTGACTATGGTGATGATCATGCTGGTGACGAAGATGCTGATGATGCGGATGATGACGATGATGCTGCTGATGATGTTGTTGCTGATGATGGTGAGGATGATGGTGACGACGATGACGATGACGATGATGATGATGGTGATGATGATGATGGTGATGATGATGACGATGGTTATGATGCTGATACTGATGATGATGCTGCTGCTGCTGATGATGATGATGATGATGATGATGATGGTGATGAGGACGAGGACGAGGAGGAGGAGGAGGAGGAGGCGGAGCAGGAGGAGGGGGAGGCGAAGGAGGAGGGGATGGGACGACGGTGAGGGATGAGGCGGCTACAAGCCCTGCCGCTTCCCGCTGGCCCGCTCGGCTTTACTGCGAACCTTAGGCCAACTGCCTCGCGAAATTCTGTCTACGTAATCCTTCCGTTTACCAGAGACGACCCCTGCACACTTGGTGGCTAACGCTAGCAACCCCACTTAGTGCAGACCCATAGGTCTAAACCCGAGTGGAAGTTAATACGTGAGATTCGTGAGCGAACCCCCCCGAGATGCACCCGTTGCCCAGGAGGAGGCCTATCCTGAATCCCGTCCAAGCAGGGGGAGCTCAACCAGTCGTTTTTACGAGCCAAGGACGTGAAACCCTGACACCTGGAACAGCTCTTTCCATGTTCCTTGGGGTCATGAGAACTGCTGAACATAGAACCCACGCTGGCCGGTGGAGGCCGAACTACATCAGGCGCTTGCTGCTTGTGCCTGCGCCTGCCACCCTGCTCAGCTAGGAGACGCTCTTCGGCCTCGAGTGTGCTTTGGAAGATGCGCAAGCGAACTGCGAAAACTTGCTGCTCGGTACTGTGTATGCGTGCACGGATGGATTCGGCAAGCCTGGCAACGCCTGCACAGGCCGCTGCGACACTATCTGCTATAGTACTACCTAGTACGAGGAGACGGGGCGCTATACCTCGCACAATATCTGCACCCTCGAGGTGTGCGCGGACGAAAAGTACAGTGCAAGACAACGAAGGCCCTCTCTCTTGCAAGACACGCCCTATGCGCCACCAGAGGTCAGCGTCAGGGCCCGAGGGGTCGAGCCACTTACGCTGATACCACCCTAAATAGACCGCATCATTATCTGTGGTATACACACAATGTCCTGTAACATGCTGCGAACACGTGAGGAGGCACCAATTCTCCCCTCTAGCAACCGTTTGCCTGGTGCCAGGGAGGGCCCCCCAGGCAGCTACAGAAATCTCCATGCGTTAATCAAACTGCTGAAACGACACTATTCCGAGGCCGATTCGGCGGAGGAGGGGGTGGTGGGTGTCTTTCCCCCCACTCGCATCTCCAAAAACAAACAGGGGCCTATCAGAGGTTCCTGTGCTTAGAAACTCGAAACTGTAATTGTCGCTGGTCGCCCAGAATTCCGTCTCGGGTGGAGGGGTTACCTCCATCCGGGCCTTGGGAATGAAACCGCGGGTCCAAAAACACCCTTCAGCCTCGGCCTGAGTGTAGGCCTTGGGCACTAACTCTTCGCTAAGTTGTACAATCGGATGATGCGCCTGGCCACTACAGGGAACAAAACATACAGACACAATTAATCTTCGATTCCTTGGAAAATTTTGGAAAATATGGGAAGTGGGGAGGAAGACGGAAACCCAGAAAATATTAGAAACTATAAGGAATCTGGTTAAATGTGTGTATGTACTTGTGTGTCCCAGGACCCCTTCAAACTCAGGCTCGACGCAGCGTGACGGTGGTTCTGTGACTCGAGGCTACAACTTCTGTGAAAACTTGCTCCTGGTACAAGCTTGCACCCCGGGCAGAGGACGGAGGAGGGTCTGGCGGCAGCGCGCCTGGCGACGTCCCCGCGGCCACGCCGCGCCCGCCAAATCGTCGCCCAAGTCGTCGAGGCCGAGTCCGCCTCCCTCGACGGCCTCCCTCCTGGCCAAGGCCCTCGCCTCCCTCCTGCAGGGGCTGGGACAAATAGATCTGGGGCCGCTGGCCGTTGCTGCCCGAGCTGCCCTCCGCCTTGGGGGACCGGGCTCCGCCGCCACCTGCACGCTGGATCTCAGACGCGAATGATCCTGCCACCCCTCCTCCTTTTCAAAGGCCCACGGCGCTGCCGACGCCGCAGCCTCCGCGCGCTCCTCGTACCAGTCCTTGGCCGCCGCCTCCCGCGCCACGCACTGGCGCAGCGCCGCCTCGGCCCCGCGGCAAGCCACCCCCCTCTGCCGAACTAGCGGCCTCGAGGCGGGACGGGCGCTGCGGCGGCGCCCGGGGCGGGCTCCACGGCGGCCCGCAGGGCAGCCAACTCCGCCGCCCCTGGGCCGGCCGTGCCGACGCGAGCACGCGAGGCGTTGTGGAGGGCCGCCGTGGCGAGGTCCCCCTGCTGCGCTGCCTGCCCACTCGGGGGAGGCGCGCCCGCTCGCGGCTCGGACGGCTGCGGCTGCCGACGCCGCGCTCCTGGCAGGAGCGCCAGGGGAGCGCCTGGCGCCAGGGCTCCTCCGTCGGCCCACCCGCTCCCCGCGGTGGTGCTATCCTCCACGGTGGTGGCGGCCCGAGCGCCGCATTGAACTGGAGGCAGAAAGACCTCGAGCAGAAGTTCCACCTCCTGTAGTTGCCAGGCCGCGCAGGAGATGCAGCCCTTGACCGCGCCCTTTACCATGCTCCATCAGGAGCTCACAAATCAAGAGTTGCACCACCAGGTGCCCACAAAAGGGAAAGCTCGTCCGACCTGGCGGACGAGGGTCGCTGTCGGGGGCCGCTGATCCCCCTGTGCCAGTCTGGTCAGGTCCTGTGCCGAAGCGCTACGAACTTGAGCCAAAATGGCTACGGAGGACGAGGAGAAGGAGGCGGATGAGCATGAGGAGGAGGAGGAGAAGGAGGAGGAGGAGGAGGAGGAGGAGGAGAAGGAGAAGGAGAAGGAGAAGGGAAGGAGGAGGGAAGGAGGAGGAGGCGGCGGAGGAGGAGGAGGAGGAGGAGGGGGAGGAGGAGCGTATTTGATATGACCCCCCCCCCTGGCACAGGAACTGCGCGTCCTGCACCTGCTCCAGCGGCGGGTTCTCCTCCTCCGCCCGCCGAGCGCGCTCTCCTTCTCCGACTCCCTCCCTCCCTCCTCTTCCCTCCCTCCTCTCCATCCACCCATCCTCCCCCTCCCTGTCTCCCTCCCTCCCTCCCTCTCCCCCTCCCCCCTTCCATCCATCCTCCCCCCTCTCCCTCCCTCCCTCCCTCGCGTCCCTCTCCCCCCCTTCATTCCTTTCTCCTGCCCCTCCTGCGCCAGTGTGCGGGGACTCCATCCATCCATCCATCCATCCATCCATCCATCCATCCATCCATCCATCCATCCATCCATCCATCCATCCATTCCATCCATCCATCCATCCATCCATCCATCCATCCATCCATCCATCCATCCATCCATCCATCCATCCATCCATCCATCCATCCATCCACACATCCATCCATCCATCCATCCATCCATCCGTCCATCCATCCATCCATCCATCCTCCCTGCCTCCTACCTTGTCAAGCGTCCCTCTCTCGTCCCTCGCTCCTCTCCTCCCGTACCTGCTCCCCCTCCTCTCCTCCTCCTCCTCCTCCTCCTCCTCCTCCTCCTCCTCCTCCTCCTCCTCCTCCTCGTCCTTCGACTCCGTCGATGCAATATGTAAGGGCAGTCCAGTGGCCAAACCCTCACGACTCCTCCTCCTCCTCCTCCTCCTCCTCCTCCTCCTCCTCCTCCTCGTCGCATGCCTCCTCTGGGGGCATTGGAGTTCGGTGAGGACAGCTGTCAACCTCTTCTTCCTCCTCTCCTCCTCCTCCTCCTCCTCGTCCTCCTCTCCTCCTCGTCGTCTCCCTCCTCCTCCTCCTCCTCCTCCTCCTCCTCCTCCTCCTCCTCCTCCTCCTCCTCCGTCTTTTTCCCCAAACCTCCTTGGCTGGGTATTCGCTTTGACTAGGGCACTTCTCGCGCGTCCTGACTTCCTCCCGCCTCCTCCATCCTCCTGCCCTCTCTTCGACGTCCCTGGGGGGATGCGACCTGCGATACTATCGCCGCTTTCGAGGGCTGCTAGTGGGTCTAGCGGAGTGGGGCACCGCGCAGACCTGAGCGGGACCTCGCCGTCCCTGGTGGGCTGCGATCTGCGACGCTGTCGCCACTTCCGAAAGCTGCTGGTGGGTCCAACGGAATGGGGCACCGCGCAGACCTGAGCGGGACCTCGCCGTCCCTGCGGGGGGGGCTGCGATCTGCGACGTTGTCGCCACTTTGGGGGGCTGCTGGCGGGTCCAGCGGAGTGAGGCACCGCGCAGACCTGAGCGGGACCTCGCCGTCCCTGGGGGGCTGCGACCTGCGACACCGTCGCCACTTCCGAGGGCTGCTGGTGGGTCCAACGGAGTGGGGCACCTCGCAGACCTGAGCGGGACCTCGCCGTCCTTGGGGTGGCTGCGACCTGCGACGCTGTCGCCACGTTCGAGGGCTGCTGGTGAGTCCAGCGGAGTGGGGCACCGCGCAGACCTGAGCGGGACCTCGCCGTCCCTGGTGGGCTGCGATCTGCGACGCTGTCGCCACCTTCGAGGGCTGCTGGTGGGTCCAGCGGAGTGGGGCACCGCGCAGACCTGAGCGGGACCTCGCCGTCCCTGGTGGACTGCGATCTGCGACGCTGTCGCCACCTTCGAGGGCTGCTGGTGGGTCCAGCGGAGTGGGGCACCGCGCAGACCTGAGCGAGACCTCGCCGTCCCTGGGGGGGCTGCGATCTGCGACGTTGTCGCCACCTTCGAGTGCTGTTGGTGGGTCCAATGGAGTGGGGCACCGCGCAGACCTGAGCAGGACTTCGCCGTCCCTGGGGGGCTGCGATCTGCGACTCCGTTTCCACGTTCGAGGGCTGCTGGTGGGTCCACCGGAGTGGGGCACCGCGCAGACCTGGGCGGGACCTCGCCGTCCCTGGGGGGCTGCGATCTGCGACGCTGTCGCCACTTCTGAGGGCTGCTGGTGGGTCCAGCGGAGTAGGGCACCGCGCAGACCTGAGCGGGACCTCGCCGTCCCTGGGAGGCTGCGATATGCGACGCTGTCGCCACTTTGGGGGGCTGCTGGTGGGTCCAGCGGGGTGAGGCACTGCGCAGACCTGAGCGGGACATCGCCGTCCCTGGGGGGCTGCGATCTGCGACGCTGTCGCCACTTCGGGGGGATGCTGGTGGGTCCAGCAGGGTGAGGCACTGCGCAGACCTGAGCGGGACCTCGCCGTCCCTGGTGGGCTGCGATCTGCGACGCTGTCGCCACCTTCGAGGGCTGCTGGCGGGTCCAGCGAAGTGAGGCACCGCGCAGACCTGAGCGGGACCTCGCAATCCCTGGGGAGCTGCGAGCCTCACGACTGCCCCTCGCAGAAGTATATGCGCCCATGTCCCGATGTGCGCGGGTGCACCTGGCACACTTTGCGCGTGCCCCGAATGTGGCGCACCTGGCGCGGCTGGAGCATGCGGCACACTTGGCGCACGTAACGCATCTGGCGCACCAGGCTTGCCTAGCACGCTTGGGCCCCGTGGCCCCCTGGTGCGCGTGGCGCGCCTGACACGCGTGGTTCACCTCGTCCCAGCGTCGCGCACCTGGGGTCTGTATTGACTTTCAGTCGCTGTTCATCCGAAGACGCCCGCTGAATATGCTGAGGCTCGGGTACTACTTATGTGTTGGGAAGGCGGGTGGGAGTGATCCAACTAGTTCTTTGTCTGGGAGCAGTGTCTTGATCTCTCCTTGTATCTCCTCGCCTAAGGCCTGGACGGACGGGGCCGCGAGCGGAGAAGCCCCTTTCCCCGTCCCCCGTACCTCCCTCTCCCGCCCCCATCCGCTCCCTCCCCCTCCACTCCTCTGCCATCACCCCCCTCCCTCCCCCAGTCCACCCCGCCTTCAAAGCTCCCACAGGGCCGCGCATCAGAAGCGTCGAGAGCAACAGCAGAGGATGATGATGACGATGACGACGACAACAAGCGACGATGACGATGCTGATACGAATGATGATAATGATGATGATGATGATGATGAGGAGGAGGAGGAAAAGGAGGACGAGGATGAGGATGAGGATAGGGATGAGGATGAAGATGAGGATGAGGATGATGCTGCTGATGCTGCTGCTGATGATGATGATGATGATGATGATGATGCCGATGCGCTGCTTGTGATAATGGTGCGAGAGTGAACTTACATTGAAGTGCAGATCTCAGCTCCCCTCTCCATAATTTTCTACTGGGCTCAACATTTAGCCCAAGCGTGGCTTCCTTCTAACGAAGTCCGTGGGTCTTGGCCTCCCAGCGCAGCCTCGAACATGGTGCTACCTTCCGCTCCATCAGAGACTGGGGCAGTCGTGCTCACGCCGGAGGGTCCCAAACGGTGCTGGGCAGTCTCAGTATAGTTTAACCAATCCCCGTCCCCATCCCCATCCCCTTCGAGACCCCCCCAAAAATACCCCCCCCAGTTGGGGACGCACCACTCGAACCCCGAGGGGAACGGCCTCAATCCCCATCTAGGAGCGTAACTCGGCCAGTGGGGCCCAGGCCACGCCCCCTGGGGATGGAAATCGGTTGAATGATACTCACAGTCGTCTGGGGCCTCGTCGCGCGGCTCGTCGCGCTGATCAGCCGGAGCCACGCAGGGGGGAGGAGGAGGAGGAGGAGGAGGAGGAGGAGGAGGAGGAGGGGCTACCTTGTTCACGGATTTGGCTAAATTCTACGAGTATATCTCGCATAATAAGCTCATGGTGGAAGCTCGCGAGACGGGCATGAATCTCAGACTCGTGTTTATCGCTTGTCGGGTGTATTCTGGAGCGCGGACCCTTAGTTTTCAGAACGCCATAAGTGATATATTCTATGCAGAAGGCACGGTCTTGGCGGGATGCACCTTGGCAACGAGCTTTGCGCGTACGCTCTTGTATAGGCTGCTGCATTCGATTAGTCAGCAGCACCCAGCTGTGCACGTTCGGAACGTAGTGGACGATGTCCACGTGCAGGCGCTAGGCTCCGAGGCGTTCGTGACCAAGGAGCTTGGGGATGTCGGTGTAAAAATGACCAAAGGCTTCCGTCGTCTTGAACTGGTCTTGGCGGACCACAAGAGCCACTTCATTGCATCCTCTGCCCGACTTGCCAAGGGTCTTGAGCATCGATGGCAGGGCCTCCGCTTCTCCAGGAAAGGGGTGGTCCGCAGCCTGGGATCGGATGCTACGTGTGCTAGGAGGCGCCGCAACCCCACCTGTAAGTCCCGTCTGCTCAAGGGGGCCAAGAGGAGCTGGAGACTTAGGCGCCTCAGAGGAACTGCGGCCATTCATCGGGTACAGCGTGCTGGGCCACAAGCGACGGCTCTATGGGGCGCTCCTGTCACTGGGCTCACTGGTGCTCAACTTCGAGGCCTTCGGCGAGGAGCCCTGAATAGCCTTCACAAGGTGAAGGGCACGGCCTCATTGGGGCTCCGTCTACACTCGTCTGCAGCTGGTTTAAAGATGGACCCCATGGTCCTGTACCATAGCCAGGTTGTGCTTTTTTGGGCTCAGGCCCTCTGGGACGGGAGACCCTCTCTCCAGCTCCTCCAGCAGGCGCTTCGTGGGGCTTTGGAAGAGCTACAAGCTGCCAAGTTCGCGTGGACTGTCGTGAAATCCCCAGCCCATGTGTTTGTACAGACGGTCAGGGCCCTAGGCTGGCAGGTGATTGATGCCAAGACCCTCCTCTCGGAACGGGGGGCCACCATCGATCTGTTAGCGCTAGCCCCGAAGCAGGTTGCTGCTCTGGCCAGGGTCTCTGCCGCCTATGTTTCAGATGTTATCGCCCTGGGCAGCAGGTCGTCCTCCCAGGTCTGGCTAAGGCCGATTTTCTGGGGCCCCATCAGAGAGGCCATCGAAGGACCGTGCAGGTGCCTGTGGACGCCTCACCATCAGGAGGCGGTGCGTAGCCTGCTGTCGCAATGTCACTGGACCCAGGCCCGAATGCATGCCCACGGGCTGGCGGAGTCGCCACTCTGTAAGTTATGTAGACGTGCGCCAGGCACGCTGTTCCATCGTAGGTTTTGTTGCGACGCGTTCGAGGGTGATCGCCGCGCGTC